CCCCCCCCCCCAAAGCAAAGGGGCCCAGCAGACCCCGCTCTGGCCTCCAGCAACCCTGCAGAGGTCCTGCCCACTGCTCTAGAACAGCTCCGTGCCCTGAGTGGATCCCCAGCCGCTTGCCCAGCCTCCTTGCACCCCCGGACGAGTAATTGTTCGTTCATTCACTCATTGCACACATACACAATGGGCACCTACTGCATACCAGGGGCTGTTCTAGGCACTGGGAATTCAGCCACGAGCCACGCACAGTCCTCGTCCTCCGTGCCTGCCTCTAGTCCAGGAAGCACGCCCGTGAGTACACGCACACCCTGGAGGCGTGCCCTCAGAGAGCTCCCAGAGCAGGTGCCCTGTTGCCTGGAGGCAGGGGGCTGGACGGCATGGCTTCTGGCCACCCTCCGTCTCTCACCACTTAGGAGGAAACATCCCAGGGAGTCCACGCATTGCCTGGAGACCCCGATGCTTGCACGGTGGGGGTCCAACCGGCTGTGAGGGCAAACTCCTTGCTAGAGTCTCGGGCAACGACACTGCGGGATGGGCAGCAGCAGGCTCCCCCCACGCCCCAACCCAGCCACCCTGGGGGTTTGCAGCTCTCAAGTGCATCCTGTCCTGCCTTCTCGCACCTACCCACACCTGCGCCAGGCTGCCTGGGGAGACAGGAGAGGCAGTCAGCCTACCAGCAGGTAGGGCAGCCCAAGGTGGGCTGTGACCTCAGGTGGGCCCCCCTCCAGGGGCAGGTAAGCTGAAAGGCCTCAGTCTTCTTTAGGGGGAGGCAAACACCTCTTACTAAGACCTTACTGAGTGTCCACAGGCGCCGTGCCTCAGTTTCCCCGTTCAATCCTCAGAAGAGGCCAGGAAGGAGGAGCCTTCCTGTCAGATTAAGGAGGCCGACTTCTCTCCCTGGCCCACCCGTCCTCTCGGTTGTCAGAGCCCCTTCATCCCACCCAGGCGTCATCATCGCCTCCCCGGGCCCGGCCTCACGCCTGCCGTGGCGCCCTGCCCAGCCCTTACACCACGGCACCCCGAGCCCAGGCCCGCACCCCGCCCCGTACCTCTTAATGATGAAGTGGATGCTATGTCGCTCCTCCAGGATCCGCTTCAGCTTGGGGACCCCATACGTGCAGGGGCGCTTGAAGGGGATCTTGTCGGGGATGCCCACAATTTCCACGGCCTCTGGGTCGCAGGCAATCTTCCTGTAGGGGACGGGGACCATGTGGTCCAGGCCCAGGGCTTCCGCTGGAAGGGCAACGGCAAGGCTGAGCGCGGGACAGAAGCTGCAGGACATGCGGGGCCCCAGGGCCGTGGTCACCATCACCTCCCCCCACCCCATCCCCTGCACCCATCCGGCCATGGAGCAGCATGTCACTTCCCGCTTGAAAAATGCCCACGGGCTCCCATCCCCCTCGGTGACAGCCGAAGTCCTACTTGGGCTTACGAGGCCCCACGTGACCAGGACCCCATCACCTCTGACTCACCTCCCTCCTGTGCCCCCTCTGCTCATCCCAGTCTCTGCAGCCTCCTTGTTGCCTCCCTAACACGTCAGACACGCACCTGCCCCAGGGCCTTTGCACATGCTCTACCATCTACTCAGACTCTCTCCTCCCAGATCACCAGACACTGCCCTTCCTCCCTCTCCCCATTCAAGCGTCCCCCCAGATGTCACCTCGCCAGTCCCCTCCATCTCGCCCTGCTTTGTTTTCCGTCCCACATTCACCATGACCTGACACTATACACATATTTGTCTGTATGCTGGTTCACTGTCCAGAACCTCAGTTCCACGGGGACACAGGCGGCCAACCGCTCCCCATCTGGGATCTATCTAGACAGGATGGGACACAGACTAGCTGCTCCCTGTACTCGGTGAGCGAGTGAACGGCAGCCAGGCTTGAGGGGGCTCTCGGCAGGATTCCTGCAGCCTTCCAGACATGCTCTTTCCTCCAGGGAGGTGTGGGGGGTGCACATGATGCTTACTCATCAGAGCCAGAAATGAGACTGTAGAAACTTTGCCAACAGCAGTGCAGGCAGAATCCGGGTTTACAAAGTGGGTTCCTTGTTCCTTCCTTGTGGACCGTTGGGTTCAGTCTCAGGCCATCTCAATCATTCACTTACGTCCCGTGTTCTTACTCATTCAGGCACCAAGTACTTTTTGAGCACCTACTATGTGCTTGATGGGACTTTCATGGGTCCCTGTTCCCCTCCCTCCCCCCCCCCCCCCCCCCCCCACCCCCCCCGCCAGGGCCTGGGAGGTCTCAGGAGACCTGCTGGGCTGGGTGTCTGCTTCCCTCCTGCCTCATCCCTCCAAACTTCCCCAGTGGTCCTGCGTCTCCGTGCCCTTCCTCAGGCCCTTCCCCGTTCCGGCCGCACCGCGTTTTTCCGTGTCCCAGCAGGTGCCAGCTCCGAGCTGGACTCCCCTCCAGCCACACCCGGAGCGGGACAGGGCCGAGCTGCCTGGGGCCCTCCCTGGCACACCGTCAAGACTGTTTTTCTGTTGACACAGCCGGGTCTGCGTTGGCGGCTCTGGCAGCCAGATCCCACTGTGAAGCCACACTTAGCTCGTTGTCAAATTAAACCCTCGAAATCTCAACAGCTGTCAAACCATGTCTTTCCCCCAACCCCCAGCCCCAGCCCGTCAGCGGTGGCTTCTGCGAGTCTGTGTGAATTCATCTCCACTCGGGTTCCTCTCATTTGCTGGGCTTGTCTCTTCGGAGGCAAGGGGACCCAGTGGACAGCGGTCAATCCCACCTGGCCTCCAGCCTCTGCCCACTGAGATGGGAGAACGGAGCCGCCATGCAGGATCCTCAGTGCCTCGTAGTCTCAATCTCCTTCCGGGTGACAATGTTCTTGAGGCTTCCTGGAGGCTGGGGTTCCCCCCCATTTCTTCTCTGTTCTATCCCCCCGCCCCACTCTGCACCCCAGCCCCATTGCTGGCCCACTTCACCCAGAGCTGGTGGCTGAAAGGGCAGAGCCAGGGGCAGGATCCACTTATCCAGGGTCTGTGGGATACCTCAGGCCAGCCACAGCGTGCCCCTGGGGACTGCCTTCTCCCCGGCACAGCTGCAGGGAAAGCTCAGAGTTGGGGAAGCCGGAGAAGGGACACGGCCTCAACCACTCCAAGCCCAGTGCTTCTCCTTGGATTTGGATGTGGCCAGGCCAGGTGCTGGCATCCGCAAAAGGTTCAGTGTTCTGGAAACATCCAGAGGGCACTACAGGCGGGAAGACTGGAGGCCGCCGTGCCAGCCCGGCTGGGGCAGAAGGCTCCCAAGGCAGACAGAGCCAGTCCTCCCCAGATCCCCTCCCCCTACTGCCCATCCAGCTCACACCTGCCTGGGACGGTCCAGGCAAGAGGGGAGGAGCGGGTCTACCAGAAAGACCACATCAAAGACGCCCAGGCTGTGCCGGATTCCTTACGAGGCCTCCAGAGCCTGGCTCAGCCCCGCCCCAGTCCAGAAGGCACAGCCTGCCAAGCCTGCAGGCCTAGGCTTCCCTAGCCCCAGCGTGGATCAAAGGGCACCTCCTCCATGAAGCCACCCCTGACTGCTCAAGCCTGTGAAGACCTCACCTTTTTCTGTGTGGTCCTGTCTTTCCAAGGGCTCCTCCCACCACCCTCCACCCCCCCCGCCAGGCACTACACTACAACCCAAGACACATTTTCAGGCACCTGCTGAAGTGCCTTGAGACCAGCGTTGGCCTGCGTGCACGACACAAGGTGGGAAGGCTCAGGATGCATGACTGATAAGTGGGCGAACCAGTGAAAGCGTGAGGAAAAAAAAAAAGGGAGGGAGCAACTCGTGATCTAATAAGAAGTCCATGTGTGGCCTTGCACTCAGGTTCTTGGGGATTTCCTGAGAGAGAGGCCTGAGAAGAGCCTTGTTATTTATATTAAGCCCCTTTTAACCCACCTGAGTTTATGATAATGAGGGGGGTGCCCCCAGATCCCTCAGGATGGGGACTGGTTTCGGGGTGGGGGGGCATGTGATCAGAGGGTTGCCCCTTTCAGCCCCACCCCCACCACCCCGGACAGAGAGGGGCTGGAGACTGAGCGAATCACCACGGGACAATGTTTTAACCAATCCCTCCGACTTACTGGGACCCCTGTAAACACTCTAAACCAAGGGCTCCCCCAAGCTTCCGAGCTGGCGGACCCACGTGCCAGGAGGGTGCACCCCAAACTCCACCAGGGCAAAAGCTCCAGCGCTTGAGAACTCGCCAGGCCTCACCACGTGTACCTCGTCCTCTAGCTGTTCGTCCGTCCCCTTCACAATAAACAGGTAAAGGTAAGCAAGGTGTTTCCAGGTTCTGTGAGCCACTGTGGCAGGCTGGCTGGCTGAGCCTGAGGGGTCATGCGAACCGTGGATGTGTAGCAGAGGCGGACAGAAGTGCGGGTGCCCGTCCGGGGAACCATCCGGAAGACGCGGAAACATGACCGTAGGCCTCAAACGGCCTAACCGCGGGGCTGTCTTTTGGGACTGGGCCCTTAACCTGTGGGGTCTGCATCGGGACTGAACTGTAGGACGCCCAGCTGGTGTCCAGAGGCCTGGAGAATTGTTGGGGCGGGGAAACCCATCCTTCTGGTGTCAGAAGTGTCGGAGAAAGGGTTTTCCTTTATCGAGGCAGGAGGGGAGGGTGGAAGAGAGAGCGAGGACAGAAAGACACAAGGAGACAGAAGGAAGAGAGGAGGGTGAAGCCCCACGCTGTCCCTTCTGCTCAAGCTGAGAAGGCCAAGGTTACCGAGGGTGACGGCCAACTCCAGGTCACCTGGCAAGTGGCTATGGACTCCCAGCACAGTGCTCGTTCTGGACCGTGCACGTTCAGGGAGCTCCCGGGGCCCCTGCCCCATCTCCTCCCTTGGCCCCATCCACGGAGGGACTCCCCACCGTGGGGCGGCACCACTCAGCGGGTGGTGGCTGTCACACCTGAGGTGACCTGTGGGAACTTGCGTCATCTCCACAGTTAAGTGAGAGCCGCCCACGCAGGCAAGGGCCACACGTGGCCATCCGCTGAGTGGGGTTTACAGGTGGAGCTCAATAAAGACAGAGTGAGCAAGGACTGCCGGGGAGACGGGGAGAGTGGGTGTGTCGGAGCGCGTGGCACAGGGCTGGGGGGTGTTCAGAGCACCCAGGGTGGGAGGGGCTTACAGACCACCTGCTCCAGCCCCTGCCTTCCAGCCAACCAGTGGCCTCACTGTCCATTGGGCGTGAAGCTGGATGGCGTGGAAGGCACGCCCGCCCCGGCGACCAGCCAGGTGCAGAGGGTAGACATGCGCCCTGAGCCCGGCTCTGTCCTGGGTGCTGGGGACACAGGGAGGGGCTGGCGCGATCCTGGCCATCACGGGAACAGATACAGACAAGGGGCATCATCAGGTGCAGGGCGCGTGACAGAGAGAACCCCATCACGGCTCTGGGGGCCCGGCCGGCCTAGGCTGAGTCTCGAAGAACGAGTGGGAGTGTGCTCCCCAAACACGTGGGGGGCATGGCGGGTGGAGGGCGAGGCCCAGAGGCCCAAAGGCACAGGAAACAGCGCAGCGCGGGGTGGACCCTGCAAGTGCGCGAGGCCAGCGGCCATTTTTCTGGGTCTTCTGGATGCCGACCCGCCTGCCTCCCACAGGTGAGTCAAGGCTGGGGCTCTGCCATCAGTTCCGCCCCCCCGGAGAAATCTGGAAGGGAAATATTGACACAACCGCCCCCCAGCCAGACAGGAGATGACATTAGCACTGCTGGTGTGCCAGCATATGGCTCCCGCTGTCATGTTAGGGAACACAAGTGACTGCCACGTAATGAGATGCTCAGCACATTGCCGGGGCCACACAGCGGGCCGGGCCGCCCACTCACCATATCTGCTGTTAAACAGGATCTGCACGCACTCCCGGAGCGTGTTGATGTCCTCGGTTTCCTTTATGAAGGCGTCCCACTTCTCTATCAAAACACAGGAGGTACGAGTGAGGGCGGGTCGGAGCGGGGAGCCCAGGGCCTGGCTGCTTCGTGACGAGCGTCCAGCTCCCCGCTAGACCCTCCTCGCTGGGCCGGGGCGCCAGGACAGCCACACTCCTTCCACAGCCGAGGCCACCGGGCTTTCTCCGGCAGAGCCCCCCGGAGGGGCCTCACCCCTTCCACCCACTCCCGCTGGGGGCCCTGAGGCCCCAGCCTCCTCCAGGAGACAGCCCTACACAATGCCCTGCTGGTCTCCACACCTGCTCTCTCCTCTTGCCTCTGTCTGCCCCCACGGGCAGTGGCTAATGATGTAGGCTCAGCCTGTCCATCATGGGTGTCTCCTGCCCTAGACGGGCAGGGGGCTGAGAGGGTGCTCTCCCTGAGATGCCGAGTCCTGACCTCAGACCACTAACCCTCACACCTTGTACCTCTGGGGTCTTACCCAGCCTCGCTGGCAGCACAGAGCCTGACGTGGGGCTCGAGTTCATAAGCCGCGAGACCATGACCTGAGCCGAAATCAAGAGTTAGATGCTTAACTGACTGAGCTACCCAGGAGCCCTTCAGGGGACTAGGTCTTTTTTTTTATTTTCGTTTTCAAATTTTTTTTCATTTTCATTTTTTTTTAATTAAAAAAAATTTTTTTAAGTTTATTTTTGAGAGACGGAGCGCAAGTGGGGGAGGGGCAGAGAGAGAGGGAGA